CTTCATCTTTTGGGGGCAGCTAGGTGGTAGAGTGGATAGAGCAGTGACCCTGGAGTCAGGAGGGCCTGAGTTCAAATCCAGCCTCAGACACTTGACACTTAACTAGCTGTGTGACCCTGGGCAAGTCACTTAACTCCATTGCCTAGCCCCCCTCCAAAAAAAAATTCATCTTTTTGATACCACTTTCACTTGATGCTTTATATTCTATAAATAATTAAATACAACCATCTTAGACAAATTAAAACTACAAACAGTCTAAAGGGCAATAAAAAGACAGAGTAATCAGTCTGCATTCTTATTTACTAGTGATAAAGATCAAGAAACAATAACCCTTTACATTAGCAGAAACTTTCAAATACTTAAGAACTAACCTATCTAGAAATACACAAAAGCCTCATAAGAAAAACTAAAATTGTGACCAAAATAAAGGAAGACTTAATTAATTGGAGGTACATTCAACGTTTACAATGGATTGGATGTTAGAATAAAAATGTCAGTGCCTTCCAAATTCATTTACATATTTTGTGAAATAACTGAAGTACTAAGGGATTTCCCTATAGAACTAGATAAATTCACAATGAAATTTATATGGAAAACAAGTAGGCAAGAATATCACTGAGGAGAAGTGCTGATGAGGGTGGTCTTACATCCCCAGATTGTAAAACATATTACAACGTATCAATCACCAAAGCTATGTATTACTAAGAGAAGAGAAACAGATCAATCAATGAACATTTATTATGTTGCTATGTGTCAGGCACTGTGCTAAGCAATAGGGATACAAAAAGAGGCAAAACACAGTCTCTGCCCTGGAGGAGCTCACAATCTAATGGGGGAGACAACATGTAAACAAATATATATATAAAACAAGCTATATTCAGGATAAATAGGAAATAAATAATAGAAGGAAAGCACTGGAATTAAGAAAGGTTGGAGGAGGCTTCCTGAAGAAGGTGGGATTTTAGTTAGGACTTAAAGGAAGTACAGAGGTCAGTAGTCCAAGCAGAGGATGGAGAGCATTCCAGGCATAGAGGGATAGCCAGGGAAAATGCCTGGAGCCAAGATAAAGAGTATCTTGTTAGTGGAACAGCTAGGACGCCAGTGTCATTGGATCTAAGAGTAAGGTATAAAAAGACTGGAAAGGTAGGAGAGGCCTAGGTAACGAAGGATAATGAATGCTAGAGTATTTTGTACTTGATTCTGGAAGCAATAAAAAGCCACATGAGTTTTTTGAGTAGGGAGGGTGATGGTGTGGAGTGACAAAAATTGGACCCGTGCTTTAAGAAAATCACATTATTGGCTGAATGGAGACTGGATTGGAGCGGGGAGATACTGGAGGCAGGCAGACCCATGGGCACGCTACTACAGTAATCCAGGGTGATCAGGGACTGTACTAGAGTGCTGGCAGTGGCAGTGGAGAGAAGGGAGAATACTTAAGAGAGATTACAAAGGTAAAATTGATAGGCCTAGGTAATAGCTTGGATATAAGGGGTGAGAGAAAGAGTAAAGAATCCAGGATGACTCCTAGTTGCAAGTCTGTGGGACTGGGAGGCTGGTGTGTCCCTCTACAGTAATAGGGAAGATAGGAGGCAGGGAGAGTTTAGAGGAAAGATAATTCATTCTGTTTTGGACATAATGAGTTTAAGATGTCTACTGGATATCTAGTTCAGAATGTCTGAAAGGTAGTTGGGAGGTGTCAGATTGGAGGTCGCCAGAGAATTTGGGACAGGATAGGAAGATGTGAAAATCATAAGCACAGAGATGGCAATGAAATTCATGGGAGCTGATGAGATCACCAAGTGAAGTAGTATAGAGGGAGAAGAAAAGAGGACTCAATACCGAATCCTGAGGGACACCTCTGGTTAGAGGATGTGATCTGGATGAGGACCCAGCAAAGGAGAGTACCAGGAGAGTGATATCGTAAAAACCTAGAGAGTGTCAAGAAGACTGAGGATAGAGAAAAGGTCACTGGATATGTCAACAAAAGGATCATGAATAACTTTGAGGAAAGTAGCTGTGATGGAATGATAAGGTGTGAAGACAGATTGTAAGGGGTTAAGAAGAGTGAGAAGTGGCGGTACCTATTGTAGATAGTCTTTTTGAGCATGAGTGGAAAAGAATAAATATACAAGTGTCAACCATTTTAAATACATACGAAAGATTGATAAACATAGAAAATATAAACCTAGAACAGAATTATTTAACAAACATACTTGGAACATTAGTTGGTAATCTGTCAAGAAAAGACCCATATTTTAGATCATACACTTCTGCATAGAACTATAAAAATGATGAAAGAAAACATAATAAAGTACTTCAATTGTAGAGGGAAGATTTTTTTTTTCAATTCAACAAAAGTAATTACTAGGGAGAAGATAGATGTGCTTGATTACATGAAAACAAAACATTTCTGTACAACAAAAACATATAATTAAAATAATAAGAATAATAAAAGATTGGGAAAACGTTCAGAGCAAATATATATAAAAGTTTGACATCTAAAACATATATAAGAAATCTTATTTAAAAAAAAAAAAGAAGACTGATTCTCCTTATCTCTACCAGCCTGGAAGTACTAGAGCCTATCCCACTCTGATGGACATGGGGACTTGGGAGCTTTGACCTGCTTTGTTTGCGACCTAGGCTGGTTTGCCCCTCCTTAAGCAACCTAGCGGTACCACTCCTCCCCAAGTCCCCACTGCAGATTCACTCTGTTAATGCCAAACTTAATGCAGATACACAATTAGCATAGCCCAATTCTGCAGCTCAGAACTCCCAAGATCAAGAAATCTGCTAACCTCAGTCTTCCCAGTAATTGGGATTGCAGGCATGTCACCACGTCCGGCAAGAAACTTGTTAAAAAGGCATAATGGTAATTTGCAGTCCATAATGAATAAAGGGTCAAAGAATATGAATAAACTTTTTTCAAAAGAAACACAAGTTGTCAATAACTACTTGAAAAAATTCTCAATAACAATAATAAAGAGATGAAAAATAAAACAATTTTGAGGTATAATCTCATACTCATAAAATTGGTAAAAAAAAAATCAAAAGCAAAAATCCTCACTGCTGGCACACTTACTGATTGCTGATGAAATTATAAATTTGAAGAATCATTTTTGCAGAGCAATCTGGCAATATAACAAAATAAGCATTTATTAAGCATTGGTTATGAGTCTGGTGCTGTGCTAAATCTTGGGTTCCTTCCCCCAGGGAGTTCCCATTCTAATGGAGGAGATAAGATGTAAACAAGTATTTACACAAAGACAAGACAATATATACAAGGTAAATGGGAGGTAATCTTAGAGGACAGGCACTAGCAGCTGTAGGGAGCTGGAGAACCCTGACAGAGAAAGGCCTCCTGTAGTAGGTAGGATATGAGCCAAGTCATGAAGGAAGCCAGAGAATCCCGGGCACAATGGAACAACCAGTGAAAATGTACAGTCCGGAGATGAGTGTTATATGCCAGCGGAAAGGACAGCGTCACAGCTGTCACAGAGTATGTGGGAATCGGGTATATCTATCCTTCCTCCTTTTTTTCCTTATGGAAATTACCAATTAGGGAAGAGGTGGCATGGTCAGACCTGCGCTTAAGGAAGATCACTTTGTAGCTGAGTGGAAGATGGATGGAAGTGAGGAGAGTCTTGAGACAGGGAGACCAAACAGCAAGCTATTCCAGCAATCTATGTATGAGGGATGAGACTCTGCACAAAAGTGATGGCTATGTGAAAAGAGGAAGCATCTATGAGATGTTGCAGAGTAGGAAACAATAAGACTGATAGAAGACTGAATAGGTGGAATGAGGGTGAAGGAGTTGAAGATGACATAAAGGTTGTGATCCTGAGTGACTAGCCTTGATAGTAATAGGGAAATTAGAAAGAGGAAAGGGTTTTGGAAGAAAGATGTCTTTTAGACATGTTGAGTTTAAGATGTCTATGAGACATGCAGTTCATAATGTCCAATAGGCATTTGGTGATGTGAGACTGGAGGTCAAAAGAGAGGGTAGGGAGGGAAAAATAGATGAGATCCATTCTCATAGAGATAACTGAACCCACAGAAGCTGATGAAATCACCAAGTGAGACAATACAGAGAAGAGAACCAAGCACAGCCCTTTGGGGGACACCCAACATCAGTGAGTGAATACTCAGCAAAGGATAGTGAAATGGGCAAGTCAGGTAGGTAGAAGAACCAGGATAAAGCAGAGTCACTAAAGCCTAGAGAAGAGAAAGTATGCAGTAGAGGGTAATAGAGGTGAAGGATGAATAGAGATCAAGAAGAATGAGAACTGAGAAAAAAAATGAGATTATCGATAAATTTGGAGATAACAGCTTCAGTTGAGTGACGAGATCATTCTCAATGATTCAGTGTGTAGTTCATGTTCTTCCTTTCCACCTCAACTCCTGCCCTCCTAATAGAGAATTTCAAAATACATGTTACTGTTCCCTCAGATACACTAACCCCAGTTCTTCAATCTACTCAACTGTCATGACCTACCCCTTAACTCCACCTCAGCTTACAAAAGGATTATTTCCCTTGATTCTGCTATTACTCAAGTGTTCCACTTTCAAAGTGGATTCCAAGTGGAATTCCAAAATACCTTTATCTGATCATAATCTCTTCTTCTCTTCCTATGCCTTACTTTCCTTCCTTACCATTACCTTCAATCTTCCCCTTATTCCTTTGTTCTATCCAAGGACATATATTCCAGTATATAACTTATCACCTGATTCTTTGTGGCAACATGAATTATATCTTAATATCTAAATCTTTTAAGCCTTTTTTTTTTAATTCAGGTCTCAAATGTACAGTCCATTTCCCCTTTCTAGCTGAATAAGAAATTATCTTCAATTCTTAAACTTCAACACAGATTTGGGTTTCCTGACCAAACAGATCAAAGGCATAAACAAGGGTCATACACCAGCATGACAATAAATGACTGATTTAACATAACCCCTTCTACAGATTAAAGCAGTTAAATATATCAATTACAACTCAAAAGTACACAAATTTTTATTTTATTATTTTTTGCACCAATATACAGTTATAAAGCCTATACATGTAAGATGAAGAATGCTCTTTGAATGATTATCAGAGAGCTTTGTCTGTAGAGGCCATGACTTAAAAACCATCTTACAAAAAACAAACATGTTTCTATACAACTCATCTTGGTACACATTTCGCATCAGAATGTGCACCGTGGAGGGGTAATATTTACTCTGACATTCTTCTGGATGCTATGATTAGATATGATTTTGAGTTTTGTTATCTTAGGAAGAAAGGATAAAAGTATCTCACTTTATTCGTTGGGCACCTATTCAATATCAACAACGTTGAAATGGCTCAATTTTTTAAATAATTCATAACATAGAGGGAGTTTTCCCGCTTATTCTCAAAATTCTCCATTGGAAAAAAATGAGTAATAAGTAATAAAATCAATGCCATTTTTATCAGGGAATTGGTGAACAAGATAAACCACATACAATCTCCACCAGCCATAGATTCTGCACTTCAAAATACCTGCTTCCACAGATCACATCTGACATGCAAACAATGTGGTGTTAGGAAATGTAATCAAGCAGTTTCTTCTGTATTTTCTTCATTCTAATTTCTTTCACGAAGTCCTCTTTTGGTTTCAGCTGGACATTTAGAAGATGGGGGCACACTTCAGTTCCACAGGGCAGCTGATTATTACCACCCTTTTTCCTACATGTGTATACACACACGCTCTATATTTGCTTCCTTGTTAACTCCAGGTTTAAGTGTGTAGAAAAACATAAAGAAGATTATTCCTCAGCTCAGGCCTCCTGAATGTCCAAGCTATATCCTGTCACACTCATTGGCTAGACAATTCAAAATTAATATCTATTACTTTCACAACTTCCACAGAAAGTAACTATCTCATTTCCTTCATTAATAATAAACCTAAGAATGATCATATTTATGATCTTTTGCCTGATAACTTGTTGGGAGATTTGGGGTATTTTTAAAATTAAAGTTGAAAAATGTTTTTGAAACAACAAAGTTAAGTGGAGTTTTGGAAATATAATGTAAAACCAGATTTCTTCAAAACCCATCACAAAAAAAACAAATATATGTATTTCGAGGAAAAGGTTTTATGACAGTCATATGCAAGTGTTCTACTTGACTGCTGTAACCTATTTCTCTTCAATATAAAAATATCTTCAGCCAGTACAGTGAGATACTAAACCTGTGGATAACCTCAATTAGTCCCTTCACACTCATGCTCCAGGAAACTGTTGTTGTTGTCTTTGCTCCAAAACTTGTTGATTTAGTAGCTGTTGCTGTTTCTGCAGAAACTGCACAACTTCTGGACTTCTTAATAATGCCTTAAAAGAAGAAAAAATAGTACAATGCACTGATTATTTATGCACTCATTTTAAATATTAATAATCTATCATCATCCAGGTCAATCGTTTCATGTTAGGAACCACAACATAAAACAGACCTACAAATAAATGAAACTTTTTATTCTATTTAATATCTGATGCTAAACTCAAATTATTAGTACATATGTTAACAAGGTCACCATTTACATTAAAACAGAATCCATGAGCATGCATTACGATACCAAACCACAGAATAATAAAAAAGCTTTTCACAATGGTTTCTGACCTGAGAAAGGTTTAATATTTTGTTCACATCCTAAGAGGTGAGTATTCTAGGTAGATGTGGAAAGGTCTTAAACTTGTAGAATAAAGCACTAAGGGTAGAGCTGGTCCAGAGTAGCAGGGGAAAAAAAAGAAAATGAGAACTACTAAAAACTGAAGGAACAGAAGCGAATAATTTCTACAGTTTCAATAGCTGGTTAAGCAGTATGGTCCACTGGAAAGAATACCAGTCTCAGACCAAGACCTAGGCCCTGGTTTCCCTCTGCTGGCTTCTATAACTTTGGGTAAGTCCTAGTAAAACAGATAGGATAGCCTTAATCTCAGTTTCATCACCTGTAAAACATGGTTGTCACTAGAGCAGATTCTCTCTAATGTCTCATCCAATTCTAACATTAGATAATGCCTTCATTCCAGATAGTTCCATTATAACCCTGATAAATAAAATTCAGGAACTAAAAATAAAAATACTCTGGTGCTAGATTTACATCTTAGAGGTACTTTTGAACTTAGTCCTGGGATTCAATTCCTACTGCTAAACCTTATTTTCAAATAGATCATAAAATGATTATTCACTTAACATTTAATGTAAACATTAAATTTTTATTAATAAAGAGCAATAATTGTTATTTTTTTCTAAATACTTCTTTCCTAAGTTTCACCCCAGGGTTTCTTATAGTGAATTACACATTCACTATGGCAAACTATACTTGTTCCATTGCATATGTTGAGATACTGCATTTCTAATAGCACATTCTGGTAATACAGGGATTCAGATTATTATTAGATAATCTCTATTAGATTAGAAAAAAGTTAGAAACTTACTCCAAATAAATTCTAATGCACAACTCTCTATGCTATTTCCCACTTTAAGGATCAAAAATAGAATTGTCAATTGTTCAGAATAAACAGGACATTAATAATTTTTATTTGGGAAGACTAATTTAAAAAAGAGAATTTGCACACAAAATTTAATTTTTAATGTGCAAATAACCAATTTAAAACAAAGTTTCAATATAGTAGTTTCTCTATAATAAAAATGAACATTTCTGAAAAACCCACTATTATTTAGGCAAATCCAGACCTATCAATCAACAAGCACTGATTAAGTTCCTACTGTGTGTCAGGCAACAGAGATCAAAATTCAAAGAAATAATCTCTTCTCTCAAAGACTTTACATTCTAACAAGGGAGACAATAAACAAACACAGAAAAATTTGAAGAGAATAAATACAAAGTACTTATATCATCAAAGTAGTTTGGAAAGGACGACACTAGTACTTGGGAGGATCAGGCTAAGCTTTATGTAGGAGGTAGAATCTGAATTGTGTCTTGAGGCAAGGTAGAGATTCTATGAGGACTGATGAAGAGGGAGTGAATTTTATGGTTAAGGGACAGCAAGTGCAAAGGCACAAACAAGGGAGAATGTCACATCCACTTTGGTGGATTGGGGAGTGCAAGAGGGAAAGTAATATGCAATGGCTAGAAAGAGACTGGGGCCAAATTGTGAAGGACTTTAAAAGTGAAACATAAGAGTTGTTCCTACAGGCAATGGTGAAACTGAGGAATTAGGAAAGCAATATGGTCAGATATGAATTTAAAGAAAATCATTTTGTCAGCAGTATTAGAAGATGGACTAAAGTGAGAAACCTGAGGCAGAAGACCAATTGGAGGCCATTGCAATTATACAGGTGAGAGGTGATAAGGGCCTCAACTAATGTGCCAAAAGAAGTGGTCCATTACAGATGTTGTAGAGGTAGAAATATCAAGATGTGACAACTGAATGGACATGTAAGGAAAGGGAGAACGAGGAGTTGAGGTTAATACTGAAGTTACAAATCTGGGAGACTGGGAAAAGGGTAGTGCCTGGATCAAAAAAAGGCAGAAAGAAAAAGGAAAATTTGGAAGAGGAGATACTGGTTATCACCTGAAACTAGGTAAAAATTTATAATGGAAGCACTCAATATTAGACCAACATCATTGAAACTAACACCAAAGTGGAATTCATGATGATAGGTTTACACTGAATTCCATTTTGCTCAAATAAGCAAAAGATTTAATGAACAAATAGGACTTCACTAAAGGTTATCTTCCCTACATGATGACTCTATGACATGGTCCTTAAGGACAGTCTTATATCAAGGTTCCATGTGTATAAATAAAACAAATTTTAAGTGTCTGTCAGTTTATGAAGCTTTAGTTACCTCTCAAAGGTTTAAACAAAAAAGAAAAAGATCATGTTTTAGATTTGTTTTAGTTTTACAAAAGAAATCATATTTACCAGCCGTTTTTGATTTAACACTTGCTCTAAGAGAGTAGGTCTTGCAGGACGATCTCCAATAGAACCACTTCTTTGTTTTCCAACGGATGTTGAGCCATCTGTGCTTTCCTAGAGTTAATGATACAATAAATTTTTTTAAATTAATCTTTTTCATTTATAGTCTGGCCTATTTCCTGGCACCTGCTGTCAAATCTAAACATTATATTACATGGTACCCCTAAACAATGTGACACCAATCTTATCAGAGTATAACATCTAGACCTAGTCTTATCCTCTAATTTTGAACATGAAGACACTTCTCCCCTCCTATTGTAGAAGGAAAGATTGGACCTGTGTCCTCATGATCAAAATTAGAGGGTGGGACTAGATCTAGACATTATACTCTATACAAACTTTTCACTATCACTTTATCTTTGCTTATGTCCTTCTCCTGACTTTGTCTATATGCCCACCTCCTTGCTACCAATCTGCATCCTATCTATCCTTCAAATCCTAAGTCCAAATGTCCCCTTTTCCATGATGACTCCCATCTCTCTTTGGAACTAAATGTCTCTACCATTAACTTGAAATCTTATCATATGCTATTCTGTGTGGTTAGATATATTTTTACAGACATAAATGTTTTTTCCTCAACAAGAACCATGTCTTCAAAGTCATTAGAGACTATACAAAGCCAGCATATGTAAAAAATAAATGTGAACCAAATATTTCCATATTATCCCCATAGGGAAATGAGGTTCTGAAGATTTTCAATGACTTATTCATGGTTACATAGGTACTAAGTTGTCTGAGGCAGGCATTAAGCTGAGGTCTCCTGATTACAAGTTCAGAACTCTTCATTCCACTTGACTACCTCTCCCAAAGGAGAGGTAAAAATCTCCTAAATCAATTTGGAAGGGAGCTTAAAAATGAACTAGTTTAACCTGTAGAAATCTCAAACATTCTGGACTGGTCATCATTTACCTTCCAGTTTCTAAGAACTCTCAGTCCACTACATTTAATTGCTACAGACTCATCTCTGAGTCTCAGTTTCCTCACCTGTAAAGATCATAGTTCCTGCATTTCCTACCTCAGAGTCCTTCCCTTGCCTGGGAAGTGCTATATAGATGTCCTAAGTCAACAAGCACTTATTAAACACCTACTACGTGCCAGTCACTGTGCTAAGCACTGGGGATACCAAAAAAAGTAAAAGACAGTCCCTGCTCTCTAGGAGCTCACAGTAAATTATTCTTTCCACAGAATAGATAAACCTGTTGCCTTCAAGAAAAAAGCCTTTCTGGTAAACCAGTAGCTGTCACAGCAACCCAATTCAAACAATCCAAATATCTTGAGATATTTGTGCCTGAAATGCTTTTTCTCTGGGAGGAATAACACAAATTATTGAGAAAAAGGAAGACAATAGCTTCCAACATGTCAATTGCACTTGATTTTCTACAGGCTGCCAGCTCATCCCTTCAACAATTAATTAGACTCATCATAATCTGCCCAATATATTCTAGCTCATACCCCTTTCTCCAGGTGAACGTTGCCCTTGTCGCACTCTCTGATGGCTATAATACTTAACATTTATATAGTGCTTTAAGATTTGCAAAGAGTTTTAATATTAATAGCTAACATTTATATACTGCTTACTATGTACCAGGGGCTATGCTAAGCCCTTTACAATTACTATCTCATTTGATCAGCACAATAGGCAGGGAGGTGCTATTATTGCCATTTTACAGAAGAGAAAACTGAGGCTGGCAGCGACTTGCTGAATCAGTCACTCATAAGATTAAGTGACTTGCTGGGATTCAATCCAGCAGTTCCCACAGCTATTAGGTGGGAAGATTTAAACTGGGACCCAGCAATCTATTCACTGCACCACTGTACCAAAATGAGATCACGTTATGTACACCTTACAGCACTTCATTGCGCAAGTTCTAGCTATTTTTGTCGTTACGTCCCAAAAGTCTTAGTGCAACCCCTCAGCTTTAATAGTTTTAAGCTGCAGTTTAAGCTTTTATAACTTTAATCTGCATTAACACTTTTGGGACACCCGAATAATAATGATAGCTAACAGCTTACGACGTGCCAGGGACTGTGCTGAGCGCTTTACAATTACTATCTCATTTGATCCTCCCAATAACTCTTAGAGGGAAGTATTATTATTATCTCCCTTTTACAATTGGGGAAATTGAGGCAGACAGCGGTTAATCGACTTGCCCATGGGTCACAACAGCCAGTGTCTGAGGCCAAACTTGAACTCAGGTCTTCCTGACTCCCGGCCCAGCACTCTATCCAATGCACTGCTGGTCAGTCATAAGCATTTATTAAGGGCTTGCTATATGCCGGGCACTGCGCTAAGAGAAGCCCTGAGTTTGCAAACAGACGGCTCGGGTCGGTGCGTCTCCACGCCCCGGCGCCCCGCCGCCCCGGGCTCGGGCTCGGGCTGGGGAGCGGTACCTCGAGCTTGACGCTGCCCGCGCCGCCCCCGCCCCCGCCGCCGCCGCCGCCGCCGCCGCCCGCGCCGCCGCTCCCTTTTACAATTGG